GGTGTACTTTCAATCTGTGCTCTCCACAAGATCAATAATTTTTTGTATAGGTTGCATCCCGGCTTGCTTGTTTTCACTAGTTCACTCTTCCACGGAAATTTTGCACCTAATCCCACTTCAATAGCGACACCATTTGGTCTCCAGAGCTTCACTGTGAATCGTGCTTCTGACATTCTTGCTACCATTTATCCGCATTGCTAATTCTTCAATTTCATCATCCTCATTTGCGCTGTTGATGACAGTGACACAAACCCAACAGTCCAAGGGCACGAGGCCTCAGCGACTATTTAGGTTTCATTTCAAAGTGACTGGCTGGAATAAATCAACATCACTGCTTCACCAGATCCGTTGTTCTGGTTCCTCATTTTCCACAAGTTGGAGTTTTCTTGTCATGTATGAAGCAGGATGCTTCTTGCATTGCCCGTCATATTCCAATTCTAAAGTCTATATCGGGTAACGCCCACTGTTAATGACACCGTTCGTTTTCGGCACATAGCCCTGTGCTCGCAAACCCGTAGCCTCATGCCCTAATTCTGACTGTAACATTATGGGTAGGCCTGACGGTATGCCAACCACTGGCTGAGAATAAATGTTGTTTATTGTTATTATTAAGTTACCTAACTGCTATCTAAAGCCTAGAGCGAACACTATATTTGCGTGTGTCCTACTGCGAGGACCTCGATATATTCAATCTTGTCAAGACATAACTACGAACTGCCAATAACCAAAGTGATCCTAATTGAGGCGAACATTTGTCAACTACTGCACAAAGCGAACCCATTCAGGGAATTGGGGCCAGACGAGGTCTATCCGAAGATCCTGTGAGAAACGTCGCTCGCGCTGCAAAAGCATTTCTACCTTTTGTTTTTTATCAATCGATATAGAGGGGCAAACTTCCCTCTGCTTGGAAGAAAGAGATTGTCATACCAGTCCACAAAACTGGCGACTGACTAATACCCGGCAGCAACAGGCCTACTTGATCCGCTAGCGTACTGTGCTAGGTGATGGAATGCACTCTGAAGCGGGCTATCTTAAATCATCTCACCATCGACATATTTAGATCCACAGCCTTATACGGATTACTCCTAAACTGCTCGTATTTAGAGCCGGCCCAAGTCAACGACGAAAGACTTATGACGAATGCAATGTATTTCGACTTCTCAAAGGTATTCAGTCTAGATCTACACGTTTCGCAGCTCCAGAATCTCAAGGGATTCGCTGGGAAAGTCTTCTTTGGATTAAGGCAGAACATTCAAAGTAAAAATAGGCTCAACTTACTCTTTATCGGTGCCGATTTCCGTTGGAATTCCTCAAGGCCTTGTTTTCGGAACACTTTTGTGTTTGATACACGTCAAAAACCCTTCCAGATATTCTTTCAAGTTCTTATCTGCTGAAGCGGGCGTCTTGAAGTCCCGGAGTTCCAACGCCAGCGCCCTCCAAATGGATGTAGACGCTGCGAGCAAGAGGTCGTTGGATTGGTACCTCCTTTTGAATGATGGAAAATGCACCCATATGTCATTCGAAGGCAACCCAGTGAACGCTTTTGTCGTGCACGATGAGGGTGGACCAGAATATATTACGGGGAGAGATGCCAAAAAATTTAGGTATCTTCAGACCTTTCCTTCTCACCAGACCATGAAAAGTCGGCTCAAATGGCCTTCGCAATTCTAGGGATGAGTTATTAAACTTTGTATCATATTACTCTCATGGACTTCAAGACACTCTATGGAGCCTATGTCAGACCGCTTCTTGGATATGCCAACCAAGTTGTCTAATCAGGACGTAAGAAAGACGTGACCCTCGCTGAGCGTTCCCAACAGCCTGTTGCAGAAATGGCTGCATGACTTAAATCCGTTGATTATGTAACGCGTATCGCGGTGCTTTGCCTATTTCCAACGGAGTATCGTCGCCTCAGGGGAGACCTACTGTGGACATGTGGCCTGCTTGAACTGATTTTGGCCAAAGGTTTTTTCCACCGTTGAACTATCTATCACACGGCGGTGACACGGTAGGGAGATCCTCAATCTTAGAGCGCACGACTTTATAAGAGAACAGTTTTTCTCATTCCTGGTAGTTGGTGTGTGCAATAACCTTCATCCGATGGTTGTTTACTTTGCTTCTATTTTTGGTCTTGCTATACGGTCGTGCAACTTGGTTTTGGTCCTTGTGTTCCTGCACTGCCAAATATGACTTAGCAAAAGGCATGGCAGCCTAATACAGCCCTTCATAGAGACAAAGGAAGATTATTACCGCTGTATTTACAGGGTAACCACAGAATGGTCTCCAAGGTCGTGCTAGGATCCCCGTGAGGGAGCGAAAAGCATAGAACTGAAGATGCTCGATACAGATTGGCTTGGACCATAGTCAATCAGGACCTTTTCGTTTGGTCCTTAGCTCGTACGCTTAGTGGAAGTACTGTTCGGTTATTATGAGCGACCGACCTCCGGACACTGCCTAAGGTTTAGACTTTCACAGTATGAAATATTAACTCAGGATTTATTTACCCACTGAAGCTTTAGGAACATTGGATTGAGTTACTCGGTATGTTTGCGAATTTGGGCAATTAGGCTGCCACGTGTAGTATACGGTGTCTGTCATTCTGATTGATTCATATTTAAGTATTGGTGATGTACAGCCTTGCTTACTGGGCCTTGGCTCATGAGCTTTGTTTCTGTTTTCCATCCACAGAAATTGTCGTGAACACCTGCTTCGAAGAATCACTGTCCCCTGGTGTTTCCATAGCGTGCATATTACACACCCACCGTACTAAACCTCAGGATCTGCTCCTATTTCGGCCCCCCACGACCCTAGACACGTCAAAATCAT